ATCACAGGCAACATCTTGGTGAACCTTCTCTATACCCCCTCTAATGCTATCACATTCTTCCTGTAATAAGGTGAGCAGAACTGCACACAGTTGTGTGTGCAGCTGTGGCCTGACCAACACTCTGTACAACTCCAACAAGGTGACATGTCTGATGAAGGGTCTAGGCCCAAAACGTCAGCCTTTCTGCTCCTATGATGCTGCTTGGCCTGCTGTGTTCATCCAGCCCTGTACCTTGTTGTCTCGGATTCTCCAGCATCTGCAGTTCCTACTATCTCTGACATGATGGCTCAGTGGCTAACATAGCTGCCTTACAGCACTGGGACAACAAAGTGCAGGGCTGGATGAACACAGCAGGTCAAGCAGCATCATAGGAGCAGAGAGGCTGACATTTCGGGCCTAGACCCTTCATCAGACATGTCACCTTGGCCTGCTGTGTTCATCCAGCCCTGCACCTCGTTGTCTCGGATTCACCAGCATCTGCAGTTCCTACTATCACAGCACTGGGAGCCTGGATTCAATTCCTGCCTTGAGTGACTGTCTGTGCGGAGTTTCCACATTCTCCTCAAGTCTGGGAGCCACAAGAAATGGAGGGATAGGGTAGCGGGGGTGAGTTGGGTGGGATACTGTTTGGAGAGTTGGTTTGGACTTGTTAGGCCAAATGGCCTGTTTCCACACCGTAGGGATTCTATGGATTACCACCATGCTCTTATTACTGTATGCCATGACTGATGAAAGCAAGTATCCCATATGCCTTCTCAAGTATCCCACGCACTTGTTCCGTCAACTTCAGGAATCTGTGAATTATTACCCCAAGGTCCCTCTGTTCCAATGTACTGCCGTTCATTAAATACTCTTTTATCTTGTTTCTTCTTCCAAAGTGCACCACCTCGCACTTTTCAGGGTTAAATATCATCTGCCACTGGTCTGTCCACCTGACCAACCTAGATTTGCATATTTCAATAGCACTATTTTAATAGTACAATTGTAGTGCAGTAAATTCAATGAGAGATGGCACAGTGGGTATTAAGTAACACATTAACACTTGTTCAAAATTGTTATTATTTACTTATTCCTTATAATGACAAATATAAATTCCAAGTTTGACACAGCAAAATGATTTTACTGGGTAATACTTCATGCTTTTGTTTTCTCACTTGAGAGGTAACAGTATCCAGTCTTATTTATATCCCTTGCATCTTAAAGGCAGTATCTTGAGATCAAATTTCCTGTCTAAACCTAACCCTAACATTTGCAAATAAATTGCACTTTAATTTCCTAACCTCTTTTTTTCTATTTGTCATAATTGACTGAGAAAAATAGATTGCCAGCTTGCTCAACGCTGCACCACAAACTGATGATAAAAAGGTTTTTGTTTGTGTGGAATGATCTGGTTTGTCCTTGGAAATTTTGTTAGATGCAGTTTCAAATGAAGAAATTACTGCATGAAGGCTCCAAAACACAAGTTACCATGTTGCATGTTTTATTCTGTGTACTTAACTGCAACTGCACTGTTCTCATTGTGAATAATAGGATTTTTATGTACAAAGTGTGACTAGCATAGTAGAGCAGAATGTACAACATTATCTCATAACTATTTTCTGATGAAGGGTCTAGGCCCGAAATGTCAGCCTTCCTGCTCCTATGATGCTGCTTGGCCTGCTGTGTTCATCCAGCTCTACACCTTGTTATCTCAGATTGTCCAGCATCTACAGTCCCTACTATCTCTGATCTCATAACTATTGTTGTGTTTGTTTTCAATATGATACAGCAGTCCACAGTGATGCAAAGACCAAGATTCCATGACTACAGTACTAAGTTACAATTCATGAAGCAGTAACCACTCACGTTGTTTTTCAGAAGAAGCACTGTATTATCAGTGTATATTTTAATCGATCTGTGCATGCTCTGTATTGGATTCGATCTCCACGTTATGAAAATACATGAGAAGTTGCAGGGCAGGTGTTGAAATATTAAAAATTTAAATTGTTTAAGAGCATATGGTGTCACACCTTTCTGGGTAGTGAGATAAGGATGGAAAAAGCCTGGTGCAGCTGTTTGTTAAAGGATATCTGATCAAGAGCCTTTGCAAAATCAGTTGGTGATCTGGTGGTAAAACAAAAACCAAAAGAACTGTGGATGCTGTAAATCAGGGACAAAAACAAAGTTGCTGGAAAAGCTCAGCAGGTCTGGCAGCATCTATGAAGGAGAAAACAGAGTTAACGTTTCGGGTCCGGTGACCCTTCCTCAGAACAGATGATCTGGTGATGACTTTTTTCAGAAATTTTAGATTTATTACAAATAGCCAAATAGCTCAAGGCTATAACTAAGCATATTTGACTGAGGCAACAGATGGGAAAACAATTACAGGTGCATAGAATTTGATAGTCTCCAAAAAATAAGAACAGAATTGTTATGCACAGTTAATCCGCACCTGTTTCTTCCAAAGGGCGCAGTTTGCAGCCCAAAACAAAAATCGGTGTTGAGTGGCTGCACACCTGAGTACTGAAATTAAGTTCATTAAGATTAGAACCAATTAAAGCTTGCCTGTATTACATAAAGCTGGCCTCTATCTCTTAAAGGGAAAATGTATTCTGGTTGAAGCAGTGTCTAGAAAGTGAATCTTAATTATAAGAGTTTTCATTTCTATATTCATTAACAGGATGAGGGCATTGCTGGCTAGGCAGCATTTATTATCCACCCCTGATTGCCCAGAGAGCAGTTCAGAGTCAACCACATTGCTGTGGGTCTGGAGTCACATGTAGACCAGGTAAGGATGGCAGTTTCCTTCCCTAAAGGACATTAGTGAACCAGATGGGTTTTTCCCAACAATGGATTCATGGTCATCATTAGACTCTTAATTCCAGATATTTATTGAATTCAAATTCCACCAGCTGCCATGGTGGGATTTAAACCCTGCTCCCCAGAACATTATCTGGTCTCTGGATTAACAGTCCAGCGATAATACCAGTAGGCCATTGCCTCCCCTAATAGAACCATAGGTGAGAAAGCTTGCTCCGAGGTTCTAAGGGTGCACTAAAGCCTTAACAGAGGAAATAAAAAGAAGGTTCACAAGAGGCCAGGAGACTCTAAAATGGAAATTACACTGGTTGTGCTATCAAATTGCCATTTCAGTCAATACCAGTGGAATAATCCAAAGGACCTGAATGCAGTGTCACAAGAAAGTCAATGACCTTTCACAAGTGCCACATCCTTACAACTGAACTAGTCCTCTGCTAATGCTCAATTGCTACAACCTCACTTACCTGCATGGAATTTCGAACAATTATGACCGATACATAGCATTCAGAGCCTTATCTTATCCTCACACAAGTTCTACTGTAGAATACTCAGATGAGGACTTTGATGAGATGGTAAGGTTTCATGAATGGACAGTTAGAATTGTTTTACTACTGCACTCAGATTAGTTTACCATGGATAGGCTGGCCACATAGAGGCTGTGCTAGTTGCATTCTCCCTCCTCAGTTGGTCACTGAATATCTGACAGCAAGATTGTGTACTAAGCACACCACCATAAATCTTAACACATTCTTCAAGGTACTGCAGTGCTCCTTCAGAGCAGACATATTGATTTAAACATGCTAATGGTCCATTTGATCACATGGTAGTGGGGTTTTCACAATACCCATACAGCTCATATGTGCACAGGTTATGCATTGTGATCATGAGCCCTGTGTCAGTAGCTAACATTTGGTTCATTGTGATAGTTCAAATGGAAATGGTAATTGGAATGCACAGAAAGAAAGCATCATGACTGCTGCTGATATTGTGGAACTGACCTCCATAATACACTGGGTATGGTTATAAACCAGCTAAGCATTGAACTGTAATTCCCTGCAGTTATAGCACGTCTCAGAGTTCTAGAGAACCTGCAAAGTGACATAGTGACACGTGATCAGTACGGCGAAGCTGATTCTACACTCTGCCTGCTTCTCACTGCCAACAGAACAAGATATTTTCAAGGTCTTTCTGCACAGAGACTCAGGGATCTGCCATATGCATCTGTCGGCAGAGAATAAAGTGTTGGAAATATTGCCAAATCTGACCTTGGAGAATGCTCAAATCCATGATCAATTTCACAACTACTGGCAAAGTAGTCCTTAACTTCCTGAGATTGCAATTGTGGCTGTAGCAGGTGACAAATTTTAACCTGCTTAGTGAAACAGGTACCATTTCTCAATGGTGCTAAAGTAGGCAAATCGCTGAATGCTCTAGGTAGTTATGGTCTCTAGCTGAGAGACTATCTACTCTTCCTCTAGCCGCTTGTCCTGCATGCTACTTCTGTTCGTATTCCTTGTCATGTTGTTGTCAAAGTGGGGTTGCAAGTAACTTCATTCACGTTATGAGAGCAAGTTTGTTTTGTGTAGAATTCTTCAAGCAGGACAAAGTCTGTCAGCACCTGCCAAACAATTTAGCAACCTTAAAAAAAAATGTACAAACTACCAAATACTACTACAAATTCAGTAACAGCCAGGAGGAATCATCCAGTAACTAATCAGAGCTTTAAACAGTGCTGGAGGGTATTTTTTCTGCTGATGAATGCATGTTTTACTGTAAATATTTGGGAAATGGTACTAGCTGGAACGTTAAGCTCCAAAATGCCAGCATTGCTGTCAAACTGACGTTATATACTGAATGCATCATTATCTGCTGACCCTGTATAAATTTCCAGTGCATGCTTCTTGCATCAATACCTTAACCATGATGGTATTTGGTGCAATTTGCAGCAGAAATGTACATGCTAGCTATGGATACCGTGTTGGAAGCAAAACAAGACATATTTTGACAAAACAAATTGACAGAAAGAGGTCCAATAGAGCCAAATGTTGCTCCCGAAGATTTTAGTCTTACGAACCCATGAATCTACAGAACTCCAATCATTCCGAGTATGCTTTGATAGGTCCTTCATAATGGCATTAGAAGAGGGCAATGCGCGGACACGTTGTCCTATAATGCATAGTGAAAAACAACAGAACACCAGGTTAAGATTCAGCATTGTATTTGACATCCTATGAGATTGGATTGTTGTTCTGAACAACAACTCATTACATGCAGTAAAGACAGTCGTTAAGTTGCAAACAACGTGTCTATTTTATGGTCCAACTGTCGAATTTGCTGTGATGCTTTCTATCGTCAATTTAATGCTAGCATTCCCCATCAATGGGCACAGAATAATAACCTCCTAGGTCTCAAGTGCTTATCAATCATGAGGAAATAAAAAGATCTTAGCTTTGCTTTGTTCAATAATTGTGGAATCTCACTCGCAATTGAATTTTGGGATATTTATTTAGAAGCAAAGTATGAGACCAACAATATGTAGGGTATTTACCAACTATTCTGATAAAAATTCTTGACATCAGTGCAATAACTTTTCCAACTCATGGCTCTGAGCTACATTTATTAAATGAAAGTTGTATTTTAATTGAAATCATTCAATTTGTTGATGCAACTAGCTATTTCTGTACTTGTTAGGTGAAAGTTTCCTGTCAATCCCTTGGCAAATTTCAATGAATTTCAAGTACATTTTGTTTTAAACTCATTTAACATATCTTTATCGGTCCATGAAAAATGAGTAGACAAGGAAATGGGATTGATGAGAAATTTTCAATGGGGAGTATGGGTGGAATAAATAACCTACTTTGTGCTATAAAATTCTGATTTGTTATAATCAGTTGCAGCAGAACTTTGAAAATAATTAAAACTAGAAGCAAAAGCAAATACTTAACGTCTATCTTGAAAACAATTTCCATCTAACGTCTGTATAACTTTGATATTAAGTACTCTGTCTCCTCAGACCAATAGGCTCTTGTCTCTTCCAGACCCTCATGCGCTTTTGAATTGCTTTCAGCTGAGATGAGCAGATTCACCATCCATCACCTTCTTCACTCTCACCATGACTGGCACATGAGGCAGCAGTGTGCAGGATCAACAAGATGCACTTCAGCAACTCAACAAGGCTTTTTTAACACCTGCCAAACCCACAACCTCTACCACCTAGAAATTAAGTGAGTACACCTCTGAGAATTCTAATATCTGGTAGTTCTCCTCCAAGCCACACACCATCCTGAATTGGAACGACATTGTTGTTCACGGGATCAAAATCCTGGAACTCCCTCCCTAACAGTACTGTGGGCGTACCAACACCAGTTAAAGTGCACTGATTCAAGAAGGTGGTTCATTACTATCTTCGCAAGGCAGTCAGGGATAAGCAATAAATGCTGAAAAAGTGAAGCTCATGTTTCAAGAACCAGTTTAAAAAAATCTTTTGCAATCGCTCAAAAACATTGGGCAAAGAGGGTTCAAGTTACTGAGCCCCCAGTTCTTCCTCCAATCGTGACAGAAATTCTATACTTTTTAGTCTTGGAACAACCATTATGCTACAGGACTTCAAAATGGGCCGGTAAGGACAGTACCATCAAAATATTTCTGGAACCCATTATTGTTCAGTGACATTTAGAAGTTACTGCCTATTTCTCGTGCAAGATATTATTTCTGATTATGGCCTCTGTTTCAGAAAGACAGAAATAACTCCAAGACGCATTTTCACTTCAAAGTTTTTCATGATCAATTTCTACACCCAGTGAGCCAAATGCCTGACTGTGAACTCAACATATATCAGTTTGTACAGAACTGCAAACATTATTTTACAGAGAATAACTATCAAGTCAACTAAAATTCAATAGTTCTGAAAAATGCTGATTATTTCCTAACTTTTTTCCCAATCTTGTTCCTTTTCTTTCCTCTTCTCTTCTGAAGGCATGAACTCTTAATATGAATTCACATTAACTGAAATAAAAAAACCCTGCATTTATTTAGCACCTTGCACTACCTGAAGACATTCCACAAAGTACTTTACAGCCAATGAATTGTTGTTTTAAAAAAAGTGGCAGCCAATTTCCACACAGCAAGTTCCTACAAACAGTGAGGAAATAATCACCAGTTATTTGGTTGCAGTGATATTGATTGCAGAATAAATTTTCACCAAATATAATGTGGGAAAATGTGAAGTTGTTCAATTTGGCAAGAACAACAAAAAAACAAAGTATTATTTAAACAGAATGACTGCAGAATTCCGAGGTGCATAACAATTTGGGTCTTCTGCATGAGACACAAAAATTAGTTTGCAGATAAAGCATGTAATCAAGAAGGTTAATGAATGCTATCCTTTTATTAGGACAGGAATTGAACATCAAAGATGTTATGCTTCACTTATACAGGGAACTAGTGAGACTTCACGAAACTTTGGTTTCCTTCTTTTAAGAATGGATGCAAAATACATTGGAGGTGGTTTATAGGTGGTTTACTAGATTGATACCTGTAATGAGTGAATTGTGTTAAGAAGATAGTTGGAAAGCCTGGGCATGTTTCCATGGGTTTTTAGAAGGGTGAGGGGTAACTTGATTGAAATGCAAGAGATTCTTAAAGAACTTCAAAAGGTAGATGTGGAAACAATGTTTCCTCTTCTGGATGTATCCAGACCTGGAGGACATCCTTTTAGGACAGAGAAGAATTTCTTTCTCTCAGAGGATTACGAAACTTTGGAACTCTCTGCCTTAAAAGGCAGTGAAAGCAGAGAAATCGCACACTTTTAAGACAGAAGTTATCAGATTCTTGTTAAACAACAGAATCCAAGATTATTCAGGGCGGATAGAAATGTGGAATTCTCAACAGAATAGCTAAAATCTTATTAAATGGCAGCACTGCTTGGCAGGAGACGTGGGGGGACAGAAACAGGGTCTGTCTAATTATGCTCTGATTTGTTAAGTTTGTATGCTTGTAGAATAGAAGAGAGCTCTCCTTCTCTTCTTTGAACAGTGCCACAAAATGTTTCACGGCCAGCTGATTAGGCAGATGGTTTTGACTTCACATTTCATCCAAAGGATGATACTTTCAACAAGGCAGTGCTCTCTCAGTACTGCACTCAATTATCATCCTGCAGTATATGCTAAAGTCTCTGGAGGGCAATTTCTGAGTCAGAGTGAGCCACAGTTGATAGATAATGTGTTGGCAGGTCTCGAGTACATTATGTAAGTGACCATTCTCCATGGTTGTATGTAGGGGTTGCAAAGTCTCAGCTGTGGGGAGCACCACAGCCATGCTTCCCATGTCTTTTTTTGACATCTACATCTGTGTGCTAACAGCAGCGAACACAATTCTGCACAAATAATAGGCAAAATTTTCAAATTTAAAACAGTAATATATTCATTAATAGTCCTCCAATTCTGTAGAGGTCTCAGCACTCCTCCAATTCTGGTCTCTTTTACTTCTGATTTTAACTCTCTGCCATTGATGTCCTTTCTTTCAGGCTCCTCTACCTCAAAAATGGAATTTGTTCCCTAGATTTTTCCACTTCCTTTTCCTTTAAAGGACTCCTGCAAATCTTCCTCCGTCCTGTCCAAATACATTATACAAATGCAATGTCATTACAAGTAACATTATATCTGGTCTGTGAATTTCATGTTTACTGCCTGTCTCAATTCACTGTTTTGAGGTTCAAAAAGATCAAAGTAGATTCGGGATTTGTCAACATTCTCCCTGATGTATAGCATATCTTCCACAGTATACAAATCTTCTCTTGCTGTCCAGACAGTCAGACTGTATCTATATTAAAACAAGATTGCTGAATTAGAATAGACAAACAACACAGCAGTGCTGGATTGTCAATTAAAACACATCAACATAAAATGTTATTATATAATATGGACTTGATAACAGACTACGTAATACAAAATTTATTCAGCTGGATTTTGTGATGCATGGATGCAAATATATTTAAGATCATTTTACATTTGTCTTGTCTCTATCACCTTCTATAAGTTAGACCATAAGATATAGGAGCAGATTTCTTTAGGGCGGCACGGTGGCTCAGTGGTTAGCCCTGCTGCCTTCCAGTGCCAGGAACCTGGGTTCGATTCCACCCTTGGGCGACTGTCTGCGTGGGTTTCCTCTGGGTGCTCCGGTTTCCTCCCACAGTCCAAAGATGTGCAGGCTACGTGGATTGGCCATGCTAAATTGCCCATAGTGTTCAGGGATGTGTAGATTAGGTGGTTTATAGGGGGATGGGATGCTCTGAGGTTCGGTGTGGACTGGTTGGGCCGAAAGGCCTGTTTCCACATTGTAGTGATTCTATGAATTCGGCCATTCGGCCCATCAAGTTTTCCCCGCCATTCAATCATGGCTGTTACATTTCTCAACTCAATTCTCCTGCCTCCTCCTGATAATCCTTGATCCCTTTACTTATCAATAACCTATCTATCTCTCTTAAAGCTACTGAATGACTTGGCCTCCACAGCCTTCAGCAGCAATGAGTTCCACTGATTCACCATCTTCTGGTTGAAGAAATTCCTCCTCATCTCAGTTCTAAAGGGCTGGCCCATCACTCTGAGGCTGTGTCCTCAGGTCCAAATGTCTCCTACAAGTGAAAACATCTTCTCCACATCCATTCCATCTTCTAAACTCCATTGAGTTTAGACCCAGAGTCCTCAACTAGTCCTCCCTTGTCTCTGACACGTCCTTCATTCCTGGGATCATTATTGTGAACCTCCTCTAGACCCCATCCAACGCCAGCACATCCTTCTTTAGATATGGGACCCAAAACTGCTCACAATATTTCAAATGCTGTCTGACCAGATCCTTATTCAGCCTCAGTAGTACATCGCTGCTCTTATATTCTAGCCCTCTTGAAATGATTGATAACATTGCATTTGCCTTCATACCTACCATGTGAACTTGCATGTTAGCCTTTAGAGAATCCTTAACAAGGACTCCTAAGTCCCTTTATGCTTCAGATTTCCAAATCTTATTCCTATTTAGAAAGTAAACTAAGTCTCTTCCTACCAAACAGCATAACCTCACAATTTTAAAAATTAATGCTAAACAAACAAAACAAAAAATCAAAGAACTGCGGATGCTGGAAATCTGAAAGAAAACCAAATTTCTGGAACAACTCAGCATGTCTGGCAGCATCTGTGGTTAACAAAACAGTGTTAATGTTTCAGGTCCAGCGACCCTTCTTCCGTTAACATTTTGGGTCTAGAGATCCCTCTTGAGAGCATTCTGAAGGAAAGTCTCTAGACCTGAAACATTTACACTGTTTTTCTCTCTCCTCGGTGCTGCCAGACCTGCTGAGTTGTTCCAGGAATTAGTTTTTGTTTAAAAATTAATATCCTGCTCTTTGGTTTCCCTCTTTCCCATCATAATTTTGAATAAATTTAGACTTAGATGCAAAAAAAATGAAAAGAATCAAAAATGTTTGAAATGTGAAATCTACTGAAAGACAGGACCTCTGGAATTTAATTCAGCTAAACAGTTCTTTTACCTTTCTGACTGCTCCAGCAACCAAGACAGCTGTGGCCAGGATGGACGAACCAATGCTGCTCTAACCGGGAACGTTACTGGTTGACTGAGTGTCTGACAAATTTGCTCCATCTCCTTCACCATCTCCCAGGTGTAAACTGTATGAAGAAGCAAATTTAATTTTAAAGATTCGTTGGTTTCAGATCATGTTTACATGTTCCTCAAGATGATTTAGGAGATAAAGCATAATTACAGAATTTTAAGAACAAACGAGACAACAGAAGTAGTTTTAATGCTCCTCAGTGGAGAAAAATGTCACAATGTAATTCTAGTCCCTCATCAGTAATAATCCTGCAACACATCCATTGCAGGAGGACACAGTCATAATATAACAAGTTTACAGGGTTCCAATTTAAAATGTGGACATAGGAATTTATAATTGGAAGAATTAATTGTGAGTGTACACCTATACAAGACAATTCACACAGGTACAAAAACAGAAGTTGCTGGAAAAGCTCAACAGGTCTGGCAGCATCTATGAAGAGAAATCAAAGTTAACGTTTTGGGTCCAGTGACCCTACCTCAGAGCCCAACCCAAAACGTTAACTTGATTTCTCTTCACAGATGCTGCCAGACCTGCTGAGCTTTTCCAGCAAGCAACTTTTGTTTTTATTTCTGATTTACAGCATCTGCAGTTCTTTTGGTTTTAATTCATGCAAGTAGATCAATTTGTTTTAAAGAGATGAGGTTGTACCTAGATACTGAAGATGGTTACCAGGATTTGTCAATGAACGTACATAGTTTTTCTCCAAATACCATTTGTACAATTGTGTGACAATGGCTAAAACTTGTAATTTCTCAAGACATAACAAGATAATACATTAAGACTTATTAACTGTGCACAATTTTTGGTAGTGTTCAATAAGCAGTAACCCACCACATTCATCTTTCAATCAATCCCATTTTTACAATAATTTCAGAAGTGTGGGTTCATCCAACTCTAGCCTCTTGTGCATCCCCAATCACCTGTCCAGGTCTTGAACTCTGGAATTGTTTTCTTCAAACGTCCTCCCTCATTCCTTCCTTAAATACTGCTTAATACGTACATTGAAGGTATTTCAAGATGGCGCCACAGTGTGGCGACATTTTACGAGCTGCCTACAGCAGATCTTATTCTAACATAGCTTATAATCGTTCTGTTTTTCTAAATCTCAATTGTAAGTCAATCAGGATTACTAACAATGTTCTCTTAAATCTACTTTCAGGTTTAAAGATTCTACAACTGACAAGGCTCAACTACTGACGCTGCAACTGCAAGTCCAGAGGGATTAAGGGCCTACCAGCTTCCCGCAAGCCCAACCTTCTTATGGAAACCCGGAATGGAGGCTAGACCAGCACGGGAACAAGGCCTGACCTCATGGTGACCTAAAATCGAGAAGGCCCGACCAAAACGGCCAAAAGACCCCCTGGAACGCACAAGGCCCCAACTGGTACCCAGGGCCCCATCAGGTGCACACACTTAGCTCCTGAAGCAGGAGACTTCCCTCACCGACGCCGAGTAGCAGCAAGCTACTCAGGAAATGTGGGAGACATGCTGGACTTCAGGTGTGACTGAAACTTTGAAGTTTCAAGCCCCCTTCCCCAGCATACTCCTAGCAAATCTTCAAACTATTGAAAACAAGATGGATGAACTTAAAGCTAGACTCACCTTCCAAAGGGAATTGAGAGACTGCTGTGTTCTCTGTTTTAAAGACATGGCTCACTCCTGCTACACCTGATGAAGAAACCCTCAGGTTGTGAGGCACAGTTCACCGAATGGATTGCTCAGCGTCCTTCAGGCAGGCAAGGGGCAGTGGGGTCAGCCTCCTAATCAACACCTCCTGGTGCTAAGACATGGTGACCCTAGTGAGTTACTGCTCCCCAAATCTTGAACATCTTTCAGTGAAGTGCTGTTCCTACTACCACCTCTGCTATCCTGACAGCGGTCTACATCCTATCCCATGTGGAAGTGAAGAGTGCACTTGGAGAAGTATACAAATTTACAAAATAGTTTTCAGACAGAATACAGAGGCCTTGTTCACTGTAGGTGGTGCCTTCATCTAGGCCAACCTCAAGAACGTGCTTCCAAAATATCATCAACACATCTCCAGTCCCACCAGAGGTCTGAACATCCTAGACTATTACTATACAACCAAAGATACTGACCACTCCAAACCCTGTCTGCATTTTGGAAAATCAGATCACAACGCTATGCGCCTCCTCCTGGTTTACAAGAAATTGAGACATGAGGACCCAGTACAGGAAGTTGTGTAGTATTGGTCTGAGACTAAAGGAAGGCATATACAGGACTGTTTAGAATTGGACTGGTCCCTATTCAAGAACTCAGCGGCCAACCTAAATGAGTATGTCACTGCAGACTTCACAAGTAAGTCTGTAGACGATTGCATGCCAAAGAAGTTGATCTGAACATTCCCAAACCAGAAATCATGGATGAACCAGGACATCCACTCCTGACTGAAGTCCAGGTCTGAGGCGTATAGGTCCCACAACCCTGACCTATACAGGGAATCCAAGTACGACCAGAGACACCAAGAGGCAATACTAAACTAAGCTTGAGACCCAGACCAACCACACAGACAGCCATCATTTGGGGCAAGGCTTACATGACATAATGGGCTATAAAGTGAAGTCAAACAGAATCGCGGGCAACAATACATCTCTATCCGATGGGCTCAATGCATTCTACGCTTGCTTTTGAACAGAATGTCAGTAAAATGATGTCACCTATCCCAACAGCCTGGGATGCACCTGTAGCCACGGTCACTGCCACAGATGTTGAATTGGCCTTGAAAGTGAACCCAAGGAAAATGACTGTCCTGGATGTAGTTTCTGGCTGTGCACTAAGATCCTGTGTGGACCAGCTGGTGAGAATATTTGCAGACGTCTTTAATCTCTCCCTACTACGATCCAAAGTCCCCACCTACTTCAAGAAGACCACCATCCTGATGCCAAATCAAAATCATGCAGCGTGTTTCAATAACTATCGTCCAGTGGCTCTGACCTCCATAATTATGAAGTCTTTTGAGAGGTTAGTCATGGCTCACGTCAACTTCAGCCTACCAAACTGCCTTTAATCTTTGCAATTCACCATACAGTGCAATAGGTCCATGACAGACACCATCACCCTGGCCCTACACTCATCCCTGGAAACATCTGGATAATAAGGACACCTACGTCAGGCTCCTACTTATTGAGATAACAAGGTGTAGAGCTGGATGAACACAGCAGGCCAAGCAGCATCAGAGGAGCAGGAAAGCTGACGTTTCGGGTCTAGACCCTTCTTCAGAAATGGGGGAGGGGAAGGGGGTTCTGAAATAAATAGGGAGAAAGGGGGAGGCGGATAGAAGATGGATAAAAGGAGAAGATAGGTGGAGAGGAGACAGACAGGTCAAGGAGGTGGGGTTGGAGCCAGTAAAGGTGAGTATAGGTGGGGAGTTAGGGAGGGGATAGGTCGGTCCAGGGAGGACAGACAGGTCAAGGAGGCGGAATGAGGCTAGTAGGTAGGAGATGGGGGTGAGGCTTGAGGTGAGAAGAGTGGAGAGGTGGGAGGACAGGTTAGGGAGGCGGGTACGAGCTGGGCTGGTTTTGGGATGCGGTCGGGGGAGGGGAGATTTTGAAGCTTGTGAAGTCCACATTGATACCATTGGGCTGCTGGCCCAAGTGAACTATGAGATGCTGTTCCTGCAACCTTCGGGTCTGTCTCCTCTCCACCTATCTTCTCCTTTATCCATCTTCTATCCGCCTCCCCCTTTCTCCCTATTTATTTCAGAATCCCCTTCCCCTCCCCCATTTCTGAAGGGTCTAGACCCGAAACGTCAGCTTTCCTGCTCCTCTGATGCTGCTTGGCCTGCTGTGTTCATCCAGCTCTACACCTTGTTATCTCAGATTCTCCGGCATCAGCAGTTCTGACTATCTCTCCTACTTATTGACTACAGTTCTGCCTTTAACACCATAAATCCAATTAAACTCATCTGTCAACTCCAAGACCTAGGTTTTAGCTCCCGCCTCTGTAACCAGATCCTCAATTTCCCTCCACAGACTGCAATCGGTAAGAATAGGCAACAACATCAGTGCCTTGCAAGGCTGCGTACTCAACCCCCTATACTTCTCATACATTCACAACAAATTGTGGCCAAATTCCACCCTCAACTGCATTTAGAAGTTTGCTGACAACACCACCATTATAGGTTAGATCTCAAATAATGATGAGACAGACTACAGGAAAGAAATTGAGTGCTTGGCGGCATGGTGTAAAGACAACAATCTCACCATCAACATCAGCAAAATGAAGGAGTTGGTCATTGATTTCAGGAAGCAGAGTGGAGAGTACTCCTCTGTCTACATCAACTGTGCTGAGGCGCAGATAGTCAATAGTCACAAGCTCCTGAGAGTGACGATCACCAACCATCTGTCTTGGTCCAACCAAGTTGACACAACAGTCAAGAAAGCACACCAGTATCTCTACTTCCTCAGGAGGCTAATGGCATTCGGTATGTCCACTCTTACCAAATTTTATAGATTTTTTTATAAAGGTTATTATTAATTTGGACAGGTTCAGGAAAGATTTTCTGGGATGTTGCCACAATGCAGGGTTTGAGTTATAAAGATAGGCTAGGACTTCTTTTACTGGAGTGTAGGAGGCTGAGGGGTGACCTTAAAGAAGTTTATAAAATCATGAGGGGTATAGATAAGGGTGGGGGAGCTCAAAACTAGGGGGTATATTTTTAAGGTGAGAGGGGAAAGATTTTAAAAGGATGTGAGGGGCAACTTTTATTTTTTTTTTAACACAGAGCGGTTTATGTGTGGAATGATCTGACATTTGGATAAGTACACGTATAGGAAAGAATTGGAGGGATATGGGCCAAATGCATGTTTAGTTGGACTAGTTTGGTTTGGGAACATGGTCGGCATGGATGAGTTGGACCAAAGAGTCTGTTTCTGTGCTGTATGACTCTACGTGCCAGACGTACATATTTGATTGTCTATGTCCCCGATGTATACAGAGGGGGCTGGTAACACTGCTGTCTTGTAGACCATGAGCTTTGTGTCAGATTTGAAATCTTTGTCGTCAAACACATTGGCCGTTTGAAAAACAAAG